GAGAGGCCAGGGGCCCTGAGGAGCAGCCTCATGTCATGGCTTTATCCCTGACCAGGAAAAACGCAGCTATCAAAGCGGCGGCAGGCGGCCTGGGCCAGCCAGGGCTTTGCTGCTCCTGCTGCTCACCTGTCACCGTAGGTGCGTGGGCAGGAGCTGTGCCCAGGGCTGGGGGACCCGTGGGGATGCAGAAGGCAGCTGCCCTCTCCCGCCCTCGCTCATTCGCCTCGTGCAGGTACAAAAGCCACGGCCAGGAGTTGCTTAGACAACACTGCACACTGGGCGTGGGGCCGGGGAGCGAGGGTCACTCCAAGTCCTGGCCTCCTCCATCCTCCATCGCCAGCTGGAACCATCCTTTTAGAGGACAAGTGCTCGCCTCCACCTGGAGGAGCAGGCGCCTTCCCTGCAGGGTCAGAGGCGGGGGCGGGAGGCTCAGTGGAGGCAAAGTGCCTCTTCCACAGTGACCCCGGCACTGACAGGAGCGAAACCAAACTCCATCCTTCGGGGCGGCGCCAGGGAACCACCGGGCCTCCAGGCAGGGCGGGTCCCTCACTGTATCAGAGCCTGTGTCCATGGGGGAGGCCAAGGAAGAGGGTCAGAGGGCTGGGAACATCGTCAGGCCAATGAAATGTGACTGCCGTGTGTGGGCCTGACCCCAGGCCCTCAGGAAGGCAGCGGGCACCTCTGTCCCTCCCGCCAGATCCCTGCGGCCGAGCACGGTCAGCGTTCACGTGTCTCTGTGAGCCATCCCTTTCTCCTGATCTTAACTTCCCCAGGAAGCTTCACTCGGGCAGCTGGTGCACGCCCAGCCCGCCAGCCCATCTCCGCCCGGTGTTAACTTCCAGCCTGTTAGGGATGGGGCTTCCGAAGCAGAATCCCCGCCTCCTCCCGCAGCTTGTTCCTGGGAGACTGAGGGAAGGGGACGGGGACAGCGTGCAGCTGTCATCCGCACGGATCTAGAAAGAGAAGGCGCTGCGTGAAGATCACAAATCTCTCCGCACGCGATCCCTGGCTGGGCGCTCCTCCTCCGGCAGCAGCGCAGGGAGAGGAGCCAGCGGAGCGAGCAGCATCGGTGCCCATGGCAACGGGCATCCCTGCTTTGAACATGCCAATCCTCCCTCCACCAGCAAAGCACATTCCCGGGGTGTTTTTCCGCTACAAATAGCTCCTGTTTCCACTTTTTCGTGACAGTGAGGGATGTTCCTTGCTTTCTGAATTCTTCACGGGCCTGGGCAAAAATGAGGGGGGAAAGGGATGTTTCAGAAAATGTCTTTGAAACTTCAAGCAGCTTTTCTAAATAGTTGAGGGAAAGGAAGGCGGAGGAGGAGTATAGGAGTATAGGTGTGTTGCCCCACCCCAGGGCCTTGAGAAGTCAAAGGCTTAGGCAGACGCCCTCAGCGAGGTGCTCCTCAGCCATTTAAAGCAAGTTTCCCCGTCTGCTCAGATCCCCATCGCTGCCTTACTGAGCACAGGGAGGCTGACTCGCTTGCGAGGTGCTAAGGGTAACTGCTAAGGACTAGCAATGGACAGTGCTGGTGAGCTCCCTAGCCACTTCCTCCGGCCATCCTCAGCCAGGAAGTGCTCACATTATCTGTCTTTCATTGCCCAACTGTGGACCACAGCTGCGGAAGTTTCTGAACGCACTTGAGCAAATAGGTAAGCTCATGCCGAGGGCTCATTCCCACCCTGGAGAAGGCGCCAGCGTGGCACCTACAGTCCCTGTGTTGGACAGCACGCTCCATGCGCGGGGCACAGCAGTGAATAACGACAGGAACAGCCATGGGACACAGAGGAGAGAGGAGCTGCACAGTGTCCCCACCCTGCGGAGCCTGGGCTGCCCACGGCGACAGCAGAGCCCCGCCTCCGCCCAGCGGAACAGCAAAGGGGCGGGTGTGGCAAAGGCTATTTGCAAATGTCCCATGTGAAGCCCTCCTCCACCCTCCAGAGTACAGTGGGCAGCTGTTCCACAGCTCTACGCAGCTAAGTCATGCTTGACAGTCTTATTTGCATCTGGCCCAGTGATGGATATTTACAGCTCTGTATTCCCTACCACAAAGCAAACAATGGCAGGCATTTGTATATTTCCAGCTTCTGCTGTCACAAATGCTAACGAAGCGGTGAAAGGAAATGGAAAGGAAGGTCATTTTTTTTCTTCTTCTTTACTAGTAATAGTGGGGGGGAAAATGAAGAATTAACCATTTTGAAAAAAGCCTTTTTGACTTTGGGCAATATATTTTTTAATCCATTATTAAAATAAAAGAAATACTACCCGTGTTTCCCCGAAAATAAGACATCCTCCGAAAATAGGACCTAGCGCATGGAAAGATAAGACATCCCCTGAAAATAAGACCTAGCGCAACTTTGGGAGAAAAAATTAATATAAGACACTGTCTTATTTTTGGGGAAAACAGGGTACATCTTAAACTACAACTCAATAGATATACACTGAGTGATATCTATTGAGCTCTGAACATACTCACTGTATATCTACACTAATAAAAGAGAAACATGCAAATTGACTGTACCTCTGCTATGCCCACAAGCCATGCCCAACCAGCTAGTGAGGAGTGAGTATGCAAATTAACCCAACCAAGGTGGCTTTTGGCCACGGAGCAAGCAGGAGGCTTGGGTTGCCCCCTGCGATGGAGAAAGAGAAGCTTCCTGTTCGCCCTGGCCAGCCCTGGCCTCCACTCAAGGCTACAAAGTTTCAATTATAGAAGATAAATCAATCCCAGATACCAGGGCCTCCACTCGGGTCACCGGGGGGCGTGGCTGGCTTGCAAACCACCAGAGGCCTCTTGTCCAAGCCATCCTACACCCGAAGGGAACCCCCATCCTGATCTGGGACATCCTTCAGGGCAAACCAGCCAGACCTCACCTTTGCACAAGGCCTCTATTCTATCTAATAAAAGAGTAACATGCAAATTGACCATCACTCCAACACAGAAGATGGCTGTCCCCATGTGGACACAAGATGGCCGCCACAAGATGTCCAGCAGGAAAGAGCAGTTGGTAGTGACCAGGCCTGCAAGGGAGGGCAGTTGTGAGGGACCAAGGCCTACAGGAGAGAGCAGTTGGGAGGGACAGGCCTGCAAGGGAGGGCAGTTGGGGGCGATCAAGCCTGCAGGGGAGGGCAGTTAGGAGTGACCAAGCTGACAGAGGGAAGTTGGGGACGACGGGGCCTGCATGGAAGGGCAGTTGTGGGGGACCAAGGGCTGGAGGGTAGAGCAGTTGGGGGGACCAGACCTGCAGGAGAGGGCAGTTAGGACAATCAGGCTGGCAGGGGAGGGAGTGGTTAGAGGCAATCAGGAAGGCAGGCAGGCGAGCTGTTGGAAGCCAGAAGTCCTGGATTGTGAGAGGGATGTCCAACTGCCCATTTAGGCTGGATCCTACCAGGCAGTCAGACATCTCTCAAGGAGTCCCAGGTTGGAGAGGGTACAGGCTGGGCTGAGAGACACCCTCCCCTCCCCAATGCGTGAATTTTGTGCATTGGGCCTCTACTCCTATATAATAAAAGGCTAATATGCAAATTGTCCCCTTGACAGGAGTTCGACCAACAGGTAGGCCAGCCAACTGCCCATGTCCTCTCTTCCAGGCTGGCCGGATCCCACCTATGCATGAATTCATGCACCGGGCCTTGAATATGTATATATACATACTGAGTAGCCAGATTATTCTTTGTTCAGAGATCATCATAATCTGGCCAGTGTATATACCAAGTGGTTTTTTAAATTAAAAATAATAGCAGCATGCCAAAACCGGTTTGGCTCAGCGGTAGAGCGTCGGTCTGTGGACTGAAAGGTCCCAGGTTCGATTCCGGTCAAGGGCATGTACATTGGTTGTGGGCACATCCCCAGTAGGGGGTGTGCAAGAGGCAGCTGGTCGATGTTTCTCTCTCATCCATCTTTCTAGCTCTCTCTCCCTTCCTCTCTGTAAAAAAAAAAAAAAAAAAAAAAAAAAATAGCAGCAGCACCACTTCTACTAGATTCCAACTATAGATAGCATGTTGGAAGCTTAAAGCAGCCCACTAAAACAGTGTCCTGGGACCCAAAGCTCCAATGTGTTGGGGGTGATTCCCCCACCAGACGAGGTGATGCTCCAGGTACCAGCTGTCCCACAATTCAGCTCACTTCGGATGCTCTACCTGGAGAGGGCCCAGAGCCACTGCTTCAAGCGCCAATGGCAAGCCCACACTGTCCCCTGTGCTCTGTCACCTGGCCACAGACCAGAGGTTCTGTAGTCACCTCTGCAGACAAAGGTTTAAAAAAATAAATAAGAGAGGGGGGTTCAAATAAATGTTCAAAAGGGGAAAAACAGGGAAGGCAATCAGGTTCTAGAGACAAGGGAACAGATGCTAACAATATAAAAAGAATCCTTGCCCTCCCTGGTTTAGCTCAGTGGATAGAGCATTGGTCTACAGACTTAAGGGTCCCAGGTTCAATTCCGGTCAAGGGCACATCCTGGGTTGCAGGCTCAATCCCCAGTAGGGGACTGTGCAGGAGGCAGCCAATCAATGATTCTCTCTTATCATTGATGCTTCTCTCCCCCTCCCCCTTTCTTTCTGAAACCAATAAAAACACATTTTTAAAAAATCCTTAAGCTTAATCCCTCTCACTCGTTTTGTTTGATAGGCTATAAAGAATCCTCAGACCAAAATTCAAGGTATGGCTATTTTCTTAACCCATCAAACCTAATTTCCAAGAAATTAAGTTATGTAAATACAAAATGACCTTCTTCAATGATCATTACCAAATGGAGCTTTACGCAAAGCCTGTTTCCCAGCCTGGTCTAAAGAGGAATGACACAGTGGCACAAACACCTGTTTCTAGCAAGCAAAATACACCAAAGAGATAATTCACAAAATCTTCAAACTACCAAAACATGTAAGGGAAGGAAGATGAAAGAAAGCAAGATAACTTCTGGAATATGGTTTTCGATCAGTGTAAGCATACCTCCAGAATTGCAGAGTAAACTTTTAATGAAAAAAATGACACCAGAGAACATTATATTGTAAATATTATATTTCTCACTCACACACATTGTATGAGACCTTTACTACGTTTAATATGTATCCATAGGATTAATACTCATACGGAGTATAATGTGGGAAAGTGCGGAACTAAATAAGTCTATCTGAAAACAAAAGCACACATTTCTTAGAATTTAAAAATATTGCACATAATAAGGTTGCGCAGAAATTACTGCTGTTACAAACAGAATGAGGTATTAGTCAATTTCTAGATAAAGATGAGTGCAAAGAAGAGGAAACACACACAAAAAACCCATAAACCTGTATTAAGTCATACAGGGCCAACAGAAAGAAATAGAAAAGATGTGTAAAGTAGCTATGATTCCAACCTTACAAAATCATTAGCCAGGGACCAAATATGTAACAAACTCTTGGCAATTATTTCATAAGTTTCCAACTTTTTCCAGCACAAGTGACTGTGAGCAGCAGACCACCTTCCTGCTCCGGTGGTAAACATTAAACCACGCCTTCCTGAAGCTGTCAGTGGAAATTACCAAGAGCTGCTCCCCCTTGCTTAACCACTCATTGCCCAGTTCCAGGTACTTAGCAACTCAAGTGAGCCATGCTACACAGCATGCAATTTTAAGTTAGCAAAGGTTCCACTGCAAAAATCATTCAAGTGCGTACAACTAAAACCTAAAAGAAATGTAAGAGTTTAACCTTTAAATATAAGTCAGGCAAACTCATTCCTTCCTTGGTATTAAAACTGGCCCAGGTGGAGAAAAAGACCAGGCAAAATGACATCTCCTTTTTCTTTTTCAAGACCCTTTACTAATCAGAGAAATTAATAATTAACAATTTCTTTACTAACTGAATGTTAATTTGTCAAAAACAATTTAAATATATTTAACAACTGTATCAAGTTAAGTGAAATCATGCACTTGTCAAAACAGTTCACAGAAAACTGTTTTGCATCATAGATTTTGAAGAACAGTCAACCAGCTTGGTGAGAACAGAGAGAAAACTACTGTCCTGAACAGTCAGTGTACGTAGTGACCATATTGCCTCTGCGCTGAGTGACAGTCCTGCAGTGCTTGCTAGATCCATGGAATCTATTCTCGGCGTGCCGGCCAGCGGAGTCAAAGCCGCTGAAAGAGAACATTTTCTCCATGTCTTCAAACACGTCATCAAACAGTCCGCCTCCGAAAGAGAACTCCTGGAAATGATGCCTCTGTCTGCTGGATCGGTCCTGGCGTGTCTGGAAGTGATTTTCAAAGTGCTTCTTAGACCGAGTGTTTTGGTTTTGACCAAAAAATCCAAAGTCTTTGAATAAGTCATCGAAATTGAAGTTAAATGACTGCTCGAAAGGACTTCCACTGCCTCTCTGTCCTTTGCCGTTAGTGAAGGCACTGTGTCCAAGAGAGTCATACTCTTTCCGCCTGTTAGCATCTGAGAGCGTTTCATAGGCTGAAAGAAATAGACACTTTAGTAACTGAAGGTAATCAGGATTGCTTACCTCTTCAGTAAGTACATTTAACTATTTTAGAGGCTTTCACATTTAAGTAAAACCAAAGTATACAAAAATAAGAATAAAGGACGAACAAAATGAGACCTGAGACAGGAACAGACTGAGATATACCTTGATATGGGGTTGGAGGACAAAAGAGAAACTAAAGGACTTATATGCATACCCATGGGCACGGGCAACATGGTGAAGATCTGGGGTGGGGTGGGGAGGGGAGGATTGGAGCTAGGAGGCAGAGGGGGTAGAAATAGGAAATATCTGTAATACTACCAACAATAAAAAAAAATATTAAAAAAAGAAAGTGAAAGTTATAAAAGGCAAGAACTTCTTGTTCTTGTTCATTGCATACTATACACAGTTAGCTCAATGCATGCTCCTAGAAAATAGCCAATAAATATTTGTGAAATGCTTTTTTTTTCATACTTTTCCTTTAAAGACAAATTTGGCTTTGTAATGTAGATCAAGGAAGGTAGAAAAAAAAATACCAAGGCATTTCAGTCTATTTAAATTTACACTTAATTTTTTTATGTTAAATCTCCATACTTAAACCTTGTTTCATAAGTTAGTTTATAAGTATTGGGTACCAAAAATTCCTTTTGATACTGAAACAATAAGCAGTTTTACAAATAAAATTTTCAACACATTTAGATCCGTAGTCAATAAAAAAACAACCCCCCCCCCCACCATTTTATCCCCTCATTCAGGAATCAAAGTTATCTGTTATCTGAGATGATCTGAGATTCAGGAATCTCGCTATATGGAAATGTAGATCCCACTGCACCTCCCCTCTCCACCTTCCTAACTACCCTCTCCTGCACTGTAACACCTGTGAGGCCTCAGACAGCGCTGACTTACCTTCTGCAATCTCCCTGAATTTTGCTTCCGCATCAGGGCTCTTGTTTTTGTCAGGATGGTACTTCATGGCCAGTTTGTGAAAGGCCTTCTTGATCTGGCGCTCTGATGCCGATTTTGGCAAACCCAAGATATCATAGTAACTTTTTGAGGCCAGAATTAATTCCGTTATCATTAAAATGCAGATGGCGAAAGTGAAAACTGACTGGGGAGTAGCCATTTCCAATGCCCTAAAAGAGAAAAGAAAAGACTGTTATCCATGGCACTAATCGTTAGACTTTCTTCCAAGAGAAACCCAATGAACTTCTGGGGCACAAGGCAGACTAGGCTGCACGTGACCCCAGGTTATTTCTCTCATATCGGCTCTGCGACCCTTACATTGGCTGCAACCTTCTCAGGGGCAAATATAATGCAGCCGAACCGAGAAAAACATTTGTCCCTGCCTTTCCCCTTACAAAGCAGGCTATACACACGAAACACTCAATAACTGACTTTTCCCAGTTAGTACTGGAGGGTGGTGGTGGTGGTGGGGTGGGAAATCCAGGATCTTTTTTATAGGATCTCAGGAATTCATGTTCTAAGGGAGTTAAAAAAAAAAAAAAGTAGCTTAACTTGGCAGAAAAAGGATAAGATTACCAAAGGGCAGAGCTCAGCCTGCCTAATTAGATCGGACTTTCCCCACCCTGACATCTTCCCGCCGGCATCTGCGCACGGGGCCCCAGGCTGACTCCCCGAATCTCGGCATCACAGCAGGGCCCAGGCCGCCCGTGCCGGGACACGGGGCAGGCCGTCATCTTCTGACCTATGTTAAGGTCCCCAACAGTAAACACGGGTCACCAAGTCTTGTCCAACGCCCCTAACAGAACTTCCTTCCATCCCACACGTCTCGGGGCCATGAGGACAGTCCCCTGTCCTCGGCGAACACTGAGCCTGGAGCCCTGGCCGCGCGCCGTGGGGGGGGGGGGGGGGGGCAGAGCCGGGCCCAGGGGTCCGGCCCGATGATGACACACCGGCTGACGAAAGGCGCCGGCGTTCGCGGAAACCCTGCCCTCCCCTCCCCTCCCGCGGCCTTCGCGGGGCGCAATTAGCAGGGGGATCCCTTCTCCCCACCGAGTCACGGGCACGGGGCCAGGGGTCAAGTGCAAGCTGCCGGCGGAAAGGGCGCCCCGCGGCCGCCGGCTCCGCAGCGGCAGGTCCCGGGCGGGTCCCAGCCCCGCAGGGAGCGCCCTGCAGGCGCGGCGCACGCGGAGCCGGGTTCCAGCCGAAGGTCTGAGCCCGCGGAGCAGCCGGACGAGGGCCTGGCGCCGACTTTCACTCCCGAGAGGGCCGTCCCGGAGGCGGGGGGCCCAGGTGGGACGGTGCAGCCTCCGCCCCGGGCGCGACCCACGCCCCGCCCGGCCGGCCCGACGCCCCGACGCGCACTCAGCGGTGCGACCGTCTCCTCCTCCCCAGAGCCTCCCGCACAAACCCCGCAGCCCCGGGCCCTCCGGCCGCCGCGGGGGCGGCGAGGCCGAGGCACCCACAAGGGATGCGCCAGGCCCCGCGCCCCCCGGCGGCTGCCGCTGGCCACGGGCTCCGCACAGCGGCTCCGCCCGGCCGCTCCCTCGGCCCGGAGTCCCCCCCGGAGCCGGCGTGCGGCCCGCGGCCGCCGGGACACCCACCTCGCCCTCCGCCTGCCTTCGCCTTCGCCTTCACCCCCGCCGCCTGCGCTCTCCGCCGGCTCCCGACTGGCGCTCCGCGGCAGCGCGCGTCCCCGCCGCCTAAATCCTACACGAAACGCTCCCCTATTGGCTCCCGCCGCCCCACGTGACCGTGGCGCCCTACGCGCACGTGGAAAACTGTTGTTGCTGTTCGGCCGATACGTCACTTCCGGATTATCCCCCCTAACCCCTCCGTCCCCGAGGGCGGTGCGGAAGCCCGCAGGAGCGGAAGTGGCTCGCCGGGGGCGGTGCCTTCCGCTGGGCCGTGCGCGCGCAGGCGCGGTGGCGCGCGCGGCCTGGGCCCGGGCCCCGCTGTGCCCCCTCCCGGGCTGTGCCCGCTCCGGGGCCGCGCCGGAGCCATGCCTCGCTATTGCGCGGCGATTTGCTGTAAGAACCGACGGGGACGGAACCACAAGGACCGCAAGCTGAGCTTTTACCCGTGAGTAGCCGCTGGAGCGGGAGTGGCAGCCTTGCTTTCGGGCCGCGGGGTTAGGCCGTTCGGGGCCGGGGGTCGGGGTGCCCCGGGGCGCGGTCCGGCCCCGCGGGCGGGGCGTGGAGGCTGGAGCTCCGCCTGGCGGCGCCCTCGGGGGCCTGTGGGGGTGTCGCTAGCGCCCCGGGAAGCTGACAGGTAGCTGCCCCCGGCGGGTGCACCGGCCCCTTTCCCGCCGGGAGCGGGGTCCGGGGGCGCTCCCCTCCTCCTCCCCCGCGGGGACCGGCCTTTCGGAGCTCGGGGGGCGCTGGCCGCCGGGGTTTGGGGCAGAGCGGCCGGAGCCCGCCTCCTGCCCGGCTGGGGGGCCAGGCCGCCTCATTCACAGGGAGGGCGGCCGTCATCCCGGTGCCGGCGCCACCACGGAGCTCCCGGCGTCCCGTCCTCGTTCTCCCGAAGATCGGGGGCAGCCGGGTGTCCTCCTCTCGGGTTCCCACCCCGGCCCCGCGCCCTGCGGGTAATGCAGACTCGCCGTGCTTAGGGGCCCTCCCGTGTACAGGTTCCCGATTCACACAGCGTGGGAGGAGATACTTCGGCGCTGGGCGCTCGCTACGTGCTCACATGGCAGGCAACGTGTTTAGAACATTCTGTTTCCTCTCCCCTGTGCTTAAGAACAGCTTTTAGCTCTGACCCGGCTGCCTCTTGTTCGTGAAGCCTCTTTCTTCAGACCTGCAGCTCCCCGCTCAGGAATGACAGCCTGAATGAAGCACATGGTTGGGGACGTAGAGCTCTGCTTTTTGTATGAAAAACCTTACGTTCCTTTTTTTTTTCTTTTTTTAGGTGGGAGATTATATTAGGGAATACTAGTAACCCTGCGCACTGGAGCTCGCTGCCCTGCCCTCCTGAAGCTCCCCCTGCACCCCCTCCCCCAATAGTTTGCTGCCCTGCCCCCTCCTGTACCTCTCCGCCAGCTTGTAGCTCGCTGCCCCGTCCTCTGCTGACCCGTGATCCGGTCGTTATGCTTCACGGCATAACCATCCTTTGCATACTACATCTTTTATTATATAGGATGTGTCTTGGAATGTGTTCTTGTAAATTATTGAAAGAAAAATAAATTACTGTTAAGTGTCTAATACAGTTTAATCCAAATCCATTTGCCTAGTTAGAATGGCAGGAAACGTTTTCTGTAAAAGCCTGCCATTAGCCTAATTTTGCCTGTAAAAAACGTGGAGTCTGCTAGAGCTTAAGGCCATTGTCAATACATGTATAAAGAGCTCTCAACTTTCTCTGTCTTTTCTGTTTCATATTATAAAGTAGATCTGAGTCTGTCTTTTCTCTTGTTCTTTTCTTGTGTCATTTTCTCTTTCAGAACTTGAATTTTAGAGTTCCCAGGTCATTGGTTATAGCAGTGGTCGGCAAACTGCGGCTCGTGAGCCACGGTTTGCCGCTCTGTTGATTAATGAGTTTGCTGACCACTGACCTAGACTCTTGATTCCAATAATTACAGGCTGTTGTTGTTCCTGTGGTCAGCAAACTCCTCAGTCAACAGAGCGGCAAACTGTGGCTCTCGAGCTGCATGTGGCTCTGGAGCCGCAGTCTGCCGACCCTGGGTTATAGGAAGCTTAGGATATTGGACTAAATTACATGCGGGTAAAGAGAACGGAATATTAATATCTTATAAGACTTGGTGTTCATTTTGTCAGCTCAACCACTTGTTTGAGTTAACTTCTCCTTGTTTTAAATATATTAACATAGCCCAGCCGGCGTGGCTCATTGGTTAAGCTTCGACCTGTGAACCAAGAGGTCAAGGTTTGATTCTAGGTCAGGGCACTTGCCAGGGTTGCTAGCTCAATCCTCAGTAGGGGGCATGCAGGAGGTAGCTGATCAATGATTCTCTGTCATCATTGATGTTTCTATCTCAAAATTGTAAAAATATAGCAAGATTTTCCTTTTGTAATTTTAGGTTTCCTCTACATGACAAAGAAAGACTTGAAAAATGGTTAAAGAACATGAAACGGGATTCATGGATGCCCAGTAAATACCAGTTCCTGTGCAGCGACCATTTCACTCCTGACTCTCTTGACGTCAGATGGGGCATTCGGTATTTGAAACAAACTGCAATTCCAACAATATTCTCTTTGCCTGAAGACAGTCAGGTATTGGAGGCAGGGCAAGAGGGGAGAAGGCTGAGCAGGGGGTGGATTGCAGAGAGACAGGAAATTGGGTGGAAGGAGGGAGAGGGAAAGGAGGATAAGTGCTGGAAACAGATACTTGAGAAAAAGAAAGCTGATTAATGCTTTTGCTAACATGATAATTTTTTAAAACTAAACCATTGTGAAGCATAGCTTAAGAGGAGCAAAAAAATAGCAGATGTAAGTCATTAACTTACCACAAGTTAATGATCTAAAGGTATTTTTACTGGTCTTTTGAATGATCTGAAATGTTTCCATTATATATTTAGGATGCTGAGTGCTTTTTAAAAAACTTTAAAGTCTACTTGAGTTATATTCTTAGAATTTTTTTAAACTGAATAAATTGGCTTGGCCAATATACTGCTTAAAATTGTAATTAAGTATTCAGCACTGATTAATAAGAGAACAAGCCTAATAAGGACATCTTTTTCAGTATTTGAAAATATTATTTTCCAGGAAAAAGACCCTTCCAAAAACAACTGTCAGAAGAAAAAAATAGAGTGTGAAAAAGAGGTGTGCCTGAAAGCCACGTCACAAGAATCATTTGCATCAGAAGAGCCGGAGAAAAGTACAGTTAATACAGGAGTCCTCCCTGCACACGCAGAACCACTCCATTCTTCTGCATCGGTGAAGCCGCCAGCTCCAAAAGCAGGAAGTATACACAATAGCATGTTAACTCTTAATCCAGTTAAACTGGAAGACACGGGAAAGCCAGAATCCACCTTGGAAGCATCAATTAACCAAGACATGGGTGGTTTTCACACCTCTTTTAATAATCTAAATTCGACAACTGTTACTTTGACAACTTCAGATTCAGAAAGCATTCAGCAGTCTTTGGAAACCCAAGAAGTGCTTGAAATAACTACCAATCATCTTGCTAACCCAGACGTTACAAATAATTCAGTGGAAATTAAGTCAGCACAGGAAAATTCAATCTTACTCAGCACAATTACTCAAACGGTTGAAGAGTTAAACCCTGTTATTGCCATTTATGTACCCACGGAAAGTTCCAAACCCACAATTAATTCTTTGATGCCTGTCCAAAAAGAAACCGTAGAAATGGAAGACACAGACAGTGAAGACTCCTGTAAGGAGCTGGACTATGAGACAGAGGTCTTAAAACTGGAACATTCTTACTGCAGACAGGATATAAATAAGGAGCATCTTTGGCAGAAAGTCTGTAAACTACATTCAAAGATTACTCTTCTCGAGCTACAAGAGCAACAAACTCTAGGGAGATTGAAGTCTTTGGAAGCTCTTATAAGGCAGCTAAAACAGAACTGGCTCTCTGAAGAAAATGTCAAGATTATTGAAAACCATTTCACAACATATGAAGTTACTATGCTATAAAGATATCTCAAAGCTTCCTAGAGGACGTATGTAAGCATTTTGCAGCCAAACCAAATTATATGTCAAATGAACTTTTTCCTGCATAAATTCCTCCACTTAATGAAGCTCAAAAAGTGCCCTAACATTATGTGTTCTGTTCTTGTAATGCTCATTTTTTGAAGAAAAACTAGAGTGTTATTGCACTGTAGATAAAAAGTTCTGTTACTGGTCATTTTCCAAATTAGAGTTAAAATATAGTGAATAAGGAATGAGTTTGTCCTAAAATGAGAGAACCAGATATGGTTAAAAAAGAAAAAGCCCAGAATAAAGGCTCAGGCCTGGATCTCGTTGGCACGTGACTGAAGCAAAGTACTTATCAAGATAGAGCTCAGTCTCTAACCTGTAGAATAAAGACTCTAATGAAGTCTGCTTCCTTATAGTTCCTTCCCCTTCTAGTCAGATAATCTTACTAGAACAACTTGTCTGTAAGGTGATCTGTACTTACATAATACTGGGTGTGGGCCAGAATGAAATTATTAACGACTGAATTATCCTCAATATTTGTGGAATTTTATGTTGTTTGAACATTTGGCTAAAGTTATCCATAATAACAAAAGGGAAATAGTCCCTTTATAATCTTATTCCAGGTGAACTAAAATGGGGAACCACCCATTAGCCCAGTTCTTAGGAAAGGTGCTTTAAACTTAAAAGAATGTGTATTTCGGCACCTTATATGTGGTTAACCGTCATTATACATAGTCATTTAAACTTCTGAACATCCTATATTTAAGGTTATAATTTATAAACCAAAAATTTCAATGAGGTTCATTTTCTATATATATATTACTATATTTTAGAAATCACAGTATATATCTATTTAATATGTGTAGCTTTTTAAAATGAGTGCTTGTGTTATTTTTAAATTCCAGAATGATAGAGTAATATTTAATATCATACATTCCCACTTATGTATATTTTATTAAAGTTTATATGCAAGAAATTATAGATATGTCATGATGACCTTCAGGAGAGAAGTAGGAAAAATCAGTGATGGATGTAAATAAAAAATGCTGCATATATTCATATGAATTTAAGAAAAAATAAATAAAAACAAAAACTGGTAACAATGTGAAAAATCAGTACTCTCTTGAAATGGGCAGTTAGTATAATTAAATATGTTACTGTTTATGGTATTGAGCAAGTTTCTATAAATCTGATTCTTATTTATTTTTAATTAGGTTGGCAAACAAGACATTTTTATATAAAAAATGCTTTTATCTTGAGGGACGGTTTTGACAAATCTATAAGGTAGCAATTATATTTTTGGTCCTGGAAAATAGGAGGAGCTCAATAAATATGAGTGGACTGCATAGTAAATAGTATGCCAACAGTTCTGTAAATGCATGATGATTATTTTTAGCTATTGCTTAACTTTTTCAGGCTAATAAAAGTAGTTGGTGTTATATGAATATATGTCAGCTAGTTGTAAAAAGTTGATTAGAAGTGTTCTTATTGTGTGACCACGGGGAGGAAAACTTAACATTTTACATAAATTAAGAGATTTGGTAAATTTAATATGTTATTTTTAAGTATTCCCATGTTGTATTTTGCTAATAGTACTTTAAAATTAATGTAGATGAAAATGGCCTTTGTAAGTCATCTAAAAATGTTACAACTCAGTTTATCACTGTATACCATGTAACTTCTATGTGTTTAAAGTTGTTTAGCTTTATTTCTTTAAACTTAATAAATCACAAATATTTTAAAAATTTGCTTGGCTTGTCTATATTCAGTTTTGGATGTTCTTAACCTGTTAATCTCTAAATGTATTTTGGGGGTTCTAGCCATGTTTATTTTTTACTGGATAATCATAGGAGCCACTTAGCTAATTTTCAGTCCCCCACTTCCATATCATCCTGACTGCTGTCAGCTTTTACCCTGAGCTATAAATCTGTCACACTACTTAACTGTTATTTCATACTTTCTGGGAAATAAAATTTAATGTTCAAAGTACTATACAGAGTCAAAATAAATCCAGAGATGGAATTTCTTAATTACTGGCCAAAAGCTGTTTAAGATGACGGAACTCTAATTCAGAATGCACCGCGATGCATAGGACATTCCTCACTGACGCAGGAGCCAGAGTCACAGCAAGCCTGCTCTTGCATTTTTCCTGTGCCTGGTGCGGGCGTTCCATTGGTTAAAATGCACAGCGTCTGAATACGCACCACAGACTAGAGTATGAATGTGGAATGAGTGCTCTTACTGAGCTTGTAAACTTGCTCAGTCTGCTTGAAAATGAATTCACTGACATGAGACAAGACTGTATCTGCACCAGGGATGAACAGGAAGTCAACTCAGTGGTGAGGTATTAAAATAATCACTTTAACAGTTTTTGAGGGAGTTTAATCCATTTAACAGTTTTTGAGGGAGTTTAATCACTTTAACAGTTTTAACTGTTTAATCCTTTTAACAGTTTTGAGGGAGTGGTATTCACTGAGAAGGTACGGACAAAGGACAATACTCAGGTTTTCAGAGAATCCCCAGGAAACCATTCAATAAAGCATTCCCCCCTGGCTGGAAGATGAGTATGTTCAGGAAGCACTCCTTAGCCTTGCTGCCATTTGGTGCTTTGCAGTCAAACCTTTCTGCACATGGGCTTTCGGTGCACCTGTTTGGTTTCATTAATTTGGGGAATGACAGCGCACAGGGAATCCATGCAGAACCTAGGAAGGGCTCTGAGGACTGGGAAATCTGGCTTCCCTCACGAATACAATCTAGTGTCCTCTGTCAGTAGGCAGAAGCGCAGTGCTGGTATCACCACCGAAATCCATGTTCAAAGGAAAGTACTGAAAAAGCCTTAGAGAAAAAAGAGCAGTGAATAAGCTGCTCACTCCTTCCTTAGCACCAGCTGGGGACTCAGGGCTACATGAGTCCAGTGCTGCGCTGCCTGGCGGGGACTCACTCTGCACCCGGAGGCTGGGCCCCTCCACGCATACTGGGCTGTGGGCGAGGACCTTCTTGACAGCGGCCGTGGGCCTGGTGGCGAGGTTCCCCAAGGAGATGGAGGGAAGCGTGTTCAACCTGGGGCCACTTGTGACAGCTGATTGCCGTCATCTAAGGAGGCAGACGCTCACCACGCTACACCTGTTCTGCATGGGGAGCCACGGCCCCAGGACCAGCCGTGGACCAAGAAGCTAGAGATGGTCAAGGTTGTTCCCACGTGCCTCAGGGCTCTGCTAGAAATGGCGTGGGCAGGGGGTGCCTCCTCGTGGAGAACACTTGGATCTGCACATTTCCAACACTCCCCCCTCATATCCGAGCAGCACAAGGCCTCTCTGCAGGACCAGGTCACTGGCCAGGTCTGAACTCACACTCATGGACGCAGGTCCCTCACCTCCACCAATACACTACTTCCTGCCACTGTCACACACACAAAAATTAAGAAAGAGTGTGAAGAAAAATGAGGCCAGGTATAGAATAGAGTGTGATGGGGATACACTGTTGATGGGATGGATGGTCACTTGAAGGGGTGAGGGGTGGGAGAGAAGAGCTGTTTGGGAAAGGTTGGAAAACTGTTCCAGAATGAAGGAGACGGGAGAAACATGACAACGGAATGAAGTCGGTGGTGTGGGTGGAAGTTGTGAATCGGTGATAATTTCCTGATTTCGGAGGTTGTGTAATGATCTTAGGAGAAATAGTGCCTGTTTGTGGGGAATTCACACTGAGCTAACAGGCCGACCCGGGGCGTCAGGTCAACAACTAACCCTGACACGGTCCAGGAAACCAAGCTGTTTGTATCCTATTTGTAAGGTTTTTAAAGATTTGGGATTATTACAACAGCCGCCACCACCAACACATAATCCTCTCCAACACTTCCCCTCGGCACCCCGAGGATAAGCCACAGATTTATCCTTGGACAGAGAGGCTAAATCTTAACTTGCTTTCTTTTTTCTTCCTTCTTTTATTTATTTTTGCTGACCTAGGTTTTAGCAGTCATTAAATCATGTATCACCACACTATCAACAAGTAAGAAGTTTCTGAGAGTGGGCCGAAGGCTGGCTGTTACGAGGGGGAGACTTCTGAAAGCCTGCTAGTCACATATCCCTGTCTTTTCAGGGTTTCACATGCAGGACAGTTTTCTGAAACTCTGTCTTAAAGGCATTCAATTATTATACTAATTGGTAACCACATTAAAAAAAAAGTCACCTAATACCGATTTTCGAGAATCAAGTTACTTTTGTTCAAAAATTCTTTGCAGTGAGCCGTTACTGAAATAAAGACAATAATTCCCAAATAGGAGCCAAGCCAAAATATTTGCCTGCAGAATTATTTTTGCTCATTCAGCCAAAGAGACATATTTTAACAATATCTCCTCGGTCAACTTACCACAGGAAAAGAATTGCTATGAAATATGCCTTTTAAGGAAAAAAAAAAAAAAAAGCAGGACCTAGTGCAGAATTCTGAAAACCCTAAAAAGTTATTATTCTTTCTTCCTTTTCCTTTCTTTTCTCTCCTCACCATAATTAAACATATTTAAAACTCAAGAAGCTTGGAAAAGCAGATTTGTTACTTTGGGGCCATCTGCTGTTATAATGACAAACACATTTGCCTTGTGTTCTTTTCTGTAAATTTTGCACTGAGAGTATTTTCAATATAACAGAAGTGAGAAGCTAATAACACAGTTAAAATACTTGAAAAATAAAAGTGAAATATACTGCAGGTATATAACCTGCTGATTAGATGCACTTATTCATAGTGAAATGATTACTACAGTCAAACGAAGTAGCATCAACTCCTCAGGCAGCTACCATTCCGTGTGTGCACCTGAAATCCACTCAGCATATTTGGTGCAGTGATAAGTGTAGTCATCATGCCTGTAAATTAGATCTCTAAACTTACGCATCCGGTATAACTATTACTTTGCACACTCCATTTCCCCCACCACCCCAGCCTCCGTGACCACCGCTCTGCTCTCTGCCCACCTAGGAGGCTTTGGGGGAGAATCTGCGTATTTTTCAGTCCTTCTTGAATCACGCCACACAAAACTCACTTCACTACAGGTAAAATCATATATATTTCAGTGTATAAATGCTCATCAGAGCAGACAGAATAAGGCAGTCTGAGGTTGGAACCTCTATTCGACACTTACCTGCATACAGCAACCACAAGTACTGTTTATAAGCATGCAGAGTTGTATTTTAATGCCATTGATGGTGTTGCTATTGAAATTTTTTTCCAAAGGAATGAACAGCTCCTGGTAAAGTCCTAAAGAAAACAGAGCCAATTCTTTCCTCTACATTCATGATAGTGGAATTTTTGGAAAATGCAGAAAATTAAAACCATACCAAAAAAATACTATGTTCATGAAAACTGAATAAGACAGAGCTACTCCTATCGTGGTGAGCAGGTGTTTTACTTCATGAAAATCTGAAAAACATTCAAATACAGAGCAAGACCTGGTCATTCGTTATAGTGTGGACAGTTGCATGCAAGGAAGATGTCCAGTCTCCGGCCCCAGCCACCAAATGCCAGCCAGTGCTCTTATAATTATAATATCCCCAAATGGCCCGGGAGGCCCGTGTCACCACCCTCCCGCACGAGATTCATTTTCACCACAATTAGACAAAGAACAGACAAATAAAAAATTTTTTAGTTTATTCTGTAATTTTTTTTGAATAAGATCTATATAGGAAATATAACATTTCCTATAGATCCACAGAAATAGGCCCTTCATTATAACCTATATTTTAATACAGAGAAAAGCATAATTGTCTGACCTTAACATTTAAAATACTAGTATGGAAGAGATCATAGTACAGTCTACAGATATTATCATGCTATGTAAGACATAGCTTGATAAAAAAAAAAAAAAAGAAAGTGTAATTCCCATAATATTTTTCAAATTTTATATTTGTTTCAGGTGTACAGTGTAGTAGTTAAGACAATCATATACTTTACAAAGTGTACCCCCCGAATATTTCCAGTACCCACCTGGAACCATACATCATTATTACAATATTACTGACTATACTAGTATTCCCTATGCTCTACTTTACATCCCCGTGACTATTTTGTAACTTCTTACTCCCTTCACCTTTTTTCACCCATTCCCCCAAGACCCTCTCATCTGGCAACTCTGTTTATTTTGTTAAGTTCTACATATAAGGGACATCATATTTGTCTTCCTCTGATTTATTTCACTTAACATAATACTCTTTAGTTCCATCCATGTTGTTGCAAACAGTAAAATATCATTCCTTTTTATTGCTGAGTAATAGTAATCTGATCATCTATGAATGGGCACTTGGGTTGCTTCCAAATCTTGGCTATTGTAAATATGCTGCAATGAACATAGGGCGTGCATATATCTTTTGAATTAGTGTTTTAGATTTCAGAAGTGAAATTGCTCAGTCATAAGGTAGTTCTATTTTTAATTTTTAAAGGAACCTTCACACTGTTTTCCACAGTGGCTACATCAATTTGCAATCCTACCAACAGTGCACAAGGGTTTCCTTTCCACCACATTGTCGCCAACATTTGTTGTTTGTTGATTTATTGATAATGGCCATTCTGATAGGTGTGAGGTGTTATCTCATTGTGGGTTAAATTTGCATGCCTCTGATTAGTGATGTTAAGCATCTTTTCATATGTCGGTTGGCCATCTATATGTCCTCTTTGAAGAAATGTCTATTCATGTCTTCTGCCCATTTTTTTTAGTTGAATTGTTTTAAAATTTATTTATTTATTTATTTATTTGCATTGAGATATATGAGTTCTTTATAAGTTTTGGATATTAACCTCTTATCAGATGTGCCATTGGTAAATATGTTCTCCCAGTGGATTGTCTTTTCATTTTGTTGATGACTTCCTTTGCCTTGCAAAAACTTTTTAGTTTAATGTAGTCCCATTTGTTTAATTTTTTTTGTTTCCTTTGTCTGATATATATATATCAGAGAAAGAATAATGTTAGAGAGTTTATTGCCTATGTTTTCTTCTAGAAATTTTATAATTTCAGGTCTTACATTTAAGTCTTTAATCCACTTTTAGTTTATTTTTGTATATGATACAAGAAAGTAATATAGTTTTATTTTTTTGCATGTACCTGTCTAATTTTCCCAACACTATTTATTGAAGAACTGTCTTCACCTCTTTTATAATCTTGCCTCCTTTGTCATATATTAATTGATCACACCAGCATGGATTATTTATGGGCTCTTTTTGTGTCTATGTGTCTGTTTTTCATAAGTAATTTTAAAAGTTTAAAACATTTTACTGTAATATTTTATTACAAAATTTATGGTGTTAAAAATGTTCTTAAAATTGTCATGGGTCTTTGAAAATTTCTTACAAATGTTATGGGTCAATGTGAGAAAAAAAAATAAACCCTAAGAAAAATGGGGAAAGAATACAAATAAGAAATAAAAAATATATAATGTGAAAAAAAGAAAAGAGGACACATAAGATTAAAATGGGAAATGGATCTAGCTGGTTTTGCTCAGTGGATAGAGCACTGGCCTGCATACCGAAGGTTCCCAGGTTCCATTCTGGTCAATGACATGTACCTTGGTTGCAGGCTCCTCCTCAGCCTGGGTGAGTGCAGTAGGCAACCAATCAATGTGTTTCTCTCACATCAATATTGCTCTCTCTCTTTCCCTTTTTCTTCCACTCTCTCTCTAAAAATCATTGGGAAAATATCCTCAGGCGAGGATTAAAAAACAAAAACAAACCAGAAAATAATTTGGGAACAAGACATATGCAGTATGTTGCTCCTTTGTCTTCCTCAAAGTTAATTTCTATGACTCGTAATTTCAGTGATCAAAGAAACTCTAATGGGTATTTCTTATTCATCTGATAAATTTATGGATTCAGGTAGAATAACAAATTAAGAAAAATCTTTAAATCCTGGACAGTTAACTCGCTGGGGGGAAAAATGACCTAATTTATTCATTTCTTATACTCTACCCTGAATTGCTTCAGGTTTTCTGAAGTATTAAGTATGAAACTGAATCTGTTCCTTAGGAAGATTCAAGATAATGAAAGTTTGAGGGAAATATGGGCAGAAGGGAAGAAAACTCACAAGCTTACGTATTAACTTAGCATCCTAATCTCATAGTTCCGATGATTTTTCTAAGTATTTCCCAAAAGTTCTAAAAGAATATTGTTTTCATTTATTTAAAGACCGATAACTTTAAGAGTTAAAGAGAACTCAAAGATTTCAGCATAACTTTCTGTCTCCAAGGAAAATGTAAATTAACTGTGGACCAAGACCTCTATAAATTATTCAAAAACAGAAAAGGGGGAAAAATTACTTTCCTTGGGAACTCATTTTAATGCATAGCTGCATATTGGTCTAAGTTACGCTCTTCCCATTACTTAAATATATTTAGAAAGTTCTTAAAATTATTTTTGGAGGTATTGAGGGAGTTGAGCCAGGTCCTGAAACTTGACCTTTCAAAGGAAAAGTCTAGATAAACTTCTTAGAGTGGAAGGCCAAGAGTTCTGTTTCTCTTGGTTTCCAGATAAGTAACTTCCTACCAAAGTGATGATAATCCAGAGAAGTTTCTTACTGGCCTCTCCTCCTTATCTGTTTTTGTTAGGGTGTGAGCTGAAAGGGTACCTTATCTTATTAACAAAAGCAGAGCTTGGGTTTTGGAGCTGAATTAATTTACCTAAGGTTTTCCGTGGAATGAAAAGGACTGGGTTCAAAGCTTAAGGAGAGACCATGTTTCGGACTGAGGGAACTAAAATAAACTCAGGAGATTCAGAAACCATGAGACCCAGGATGCCTGGACGGGCCAAGGAAACCCTGTGCATTGGAAAACAATGCAGTATTGCAACTGTAGGCGGACTGAAGGTCAGGAGTCTCAGCATGGGCGTCCTTTAGAGATGGCGGGGACTATTATAAATCAGGACTGGGATGAGTAAGTCCTTTCACCTGGCTGCCACAGGGCATGGTTTTAATCAAGGGATAAAATATCCTTCCTACCTCCCTCCACTCTTTTTCACTCCTGATGGAAAGGAAGTAAACCTGAGCGCTGCCCTGTGGGGCTAATGGCACAAGAGGTAATTCCACAGGTCAATTGTCTTCTGCTTAAGCCAGTGGCTTCCCCCAAGAACAAAGAGTAGCAAGTCAAAGCAGCTAATCGCTGTCACACTCAAGAAGATCTCGTTATAATATGCAATCTCGTTGTTACAGTCATTGGAGTGTGCCACCGTGTACAAGTAATAGATCCTAAAGAGCTGGTAGGGGAGGAAGCAGATCATGATGACCCCTATGAAGAAGAGGTTTTTCAGCTGGGCCCAGAACTCCTGGTGGGACAGCAGGGAGTGGCGCAGCCTGCGCCCCATGGACATGATGATGAAGATCTGGAAGACCAGGAGAACCAGCGCGATGGCGATGACCACGGTGACTATCAAGTAGTTGATGACCCGCACGTACGTTCGGGTCAGCTCTTTGTGGAAGTTAAAACAGTTGTGCATGTCGTAGACCTCCAGGCTTCCGTACTGGGAAGCGATCAGGGGCACCATGATGACAATCACCAGCAGCCACAGGCCCGCGCTGGCGGCCACCGCGTGCAGCTTCCTGTAGAACTCCACCTTGTCCTTGCGCTTGAAGAAGATGAGGTACCTGATGACCAGGATCACCAGGTAGAACAGGAACGTGAGGTACATGTGGATGTGCAGCATGGCGCTCACGAACTTGCAGAAGGGCAAGCCGAAGAGCCACCGGTGCCTGACGAGGTAGGCCAGGCGGAAAGGCACGGTGAGCAGGAAGACGCTGTGGATCACCACCAGGTTCACGACCGCCGTGGTGGTCACCGAGCGCGTGTTCATCTTCACGAGGAGGAACAAGATGGAGACGACGCCCGCCAGCCCGCCAACGAGCACCGCGCCGTACAGCCAGGTGAGGTGGGGCGTCAGGATGGGTTTGCAGGAACTGTTGTTGGCAGCCATCCTTCAGAAGCCACCTGGAAGAGACAAGGTGCCCGCGTAACTGACAAACTTCCAGAACTTTGTACGTGCGATGGCCTGGGGGCTGTGTCATTTACCTGTTTACATGACGTCAACTTCATATGCCTTAAAAATTATATACAACCCTGTGAATGTACCAGGAACCACTGGATGCCGTGCTGTGGAACAGTGAATTATTTTATGGTGTGAGGGTCCCATCCCCATATGGCCATTGCTCAGAGAGGGAGAGAAAAAAGCTGTCTGAGCCGAGCCTCTGGTGAGGAGGAAAAGGAGTGAGAACCATCCCTGGTTAGGTGAAGAATGAAGACAGAATCCGTGGTGCCAAGAGCTGCGATCTTGCTGGGTGGCCCTGGTCAGCCAGCTTGGTGCCAGGGGGCCAGGATTGGGGAGCTTTGGGTGGCCAGACTCAGACTAAATGTCCTGGCCCTGCTGACCTTATTCTACAATCCTCTTTGCCACCCTGGATTCACGTCCTCCTATTTGCACAGAAGAGAGGGGCCCACCCCCTGACCCCCCACAGGAGAGAACACCCTTGCCCACCATTTCTGCATAGAACTTGCCAGCAGCATCACGCTTTTCCCTGACACCCCCAGACCCAGCCCAGAAACGCAGGGTCCGTGGAAGCTGTGGGAGTCCCCACTGTCTCCAGGGCCAGAGGAACCCCTCTATCTGCACTGGGATCAGAAGACAAATCGCTCAATCTTACCGCCAGAGGGAAACCTCGAGTCTTTCTGGAGGCAGACTAGAGAAAAGCCACCCACCTTCATTCACTAGCTCCCAGCGGGGGGCAGCTGGGTCTCAGTGCAGCTGTCCCTGCTGCCACTGGGGGGCGCCAGAGGCCCAGAGAGGTGGGTTCCGGCTCTCAAAGGCAGAGCCATGCTTCAACCCACCCTCGGTGCCCTTCTTCAAGGTCAATGTTAGCAGCCAGGACGAATAGCCAGCCTGGGCTAGAAGAGGCAGAACCCTGAGCAGAGGCTGTGGTGGGGCCAGGGCTTCCCTGCCTTTGAGATGCCCGCAGAGCACATTCTATCTGGGATGCTCGCTGAGAACAAGCAGGATCGTTCACTTGCATCTCTCTGGGAACACCGAGCAGCATCTACTCCAAATATGTTCACACCGGGCCCCGAAGGACTGCTCCCCTGAGGACTGCCCGGGGTGGCCGAGAAAAGCCGAGCATATGGGCAGCAGCGTGGGCAACAACCCAACAGAGGTCAGCCTCAAAGAAGTCATCGGAGGGAGTTACAAGCCCAGTAACATATCAAAGGCCCCTCCTGCTCCCACGTTCAGGCTCTCCGTCCCCCTCCCGCCCCGGGAAGGAGGCCCCTGCTTCGCTGAGGCTGTTCCAGGCTTCACCCATCAGAACCAGGAGCTGGAACCCAGCGCCCGCTGGGCCTGCGCTGCCATTCCTGCCGTCACTGGGAGGTGGACAGGGCTCCCCTTTGCGGCTTCTGGTTACCGACAAGGCGGTGAGTGAGAGCGGAGGCTGGGCCGCGGGAGGTGGACACTCACAGACGTGGTTTCCTCAGAGGCAGAGCCACACCTTCCTGAAGCCCCTCCGCACAGCTTACCCCCTGCTTTCTGCTAGTGAGGACAGGCCCCCGAGTCTCCCACTCCAGCAGGGAGTTTTGCTCGGATCCATAGGTCAGAGGTAATAAAATGCGCTGTGGCCCTAGCCGGTGTGGCTCAGTGGATAGAACGTCAGCCTGCAGACTGAAGGGCCCCAGGTTTGATTCCGGTCAAGGGCACATGCCCAGGTTGCAGGCTCGATCCCCAGCAGGGGGCATGCAGGAGGCAGCTGATCAATGAGTCTCTCTTACCACTGATGTGTCTATCCCTTTCCCTCTCCCTTCTTCTCCGAGATCATTAAAAATGTACGTAAAAGGGGCGGTGCACCCTGACCATCTCCTTACTGGAAATCTTGCTTCAAAGAAGCACCGTTTCCTAAGGACCGTGCTTTGTTCTCCGCCAATGTCTCGTGTGTGGGCTTGTGACCCTGGAGTCCGCGGGTGCCCGGTGCAGCGGCTCCTCGCCACCCTCCCCTCTGGCCTCCTCAGTCGTCCCAGCGCCCAGGACGGACATGAACACGTCAGGGAGGCAGGGGACCAGGGGGCAGGAGGGCTTCAGGGAAAGGCGAGCAGTCAGCCAGGCAGCGACTTTCTCCCTCTCGGCTCCCTTCCAGCCGGGGAAGAGCTGCGAGGGGAGAGGGGAGGGCATCACTAAGGACGGCTGCTCCCCCACCTCCTGGCTCAGCCTGCGGGCTCAGCAAGGCCATGGCAGCTCCTCCTTCCCGCACACTGTGACCATCTCCTGTGTTTATCCAAATGTTCATCTGCTTTTTCCTTATCTTCTTTTTATCATAAGAATTACCAGGTTTCCTTCTCTTTTCTCAGTGGTTTTGTTTTGTTGTTTTGTTTATCACACACAAAAAGAGGCACCAAGTTAAAGAAACTAAAGCACAATTGGAAGGTGGACAGGATTTTTTCACTCTTTTAAATATTTTGGTACAATTGCTGCTAGTGTTTTCCGATGCATCTACGTTAGTGAGATAGTTGCAATCACAATGCAGCTCATTTTTCAGCCCATATTTTTCACTAGTAATATACTGAAGCCCTTAGTCTTAAAGCATCCTTATTTTTATTTCTTTAAATATGTTTTTATTGAGTTTTAAAATTTGTTTTAGAGAGAGATGACGAGAGAGGGACAGAGATAGAAACATCTATTGGGATCCACTGCCTCCTGCATGCCTCCTACTAGGGACTGAGCATGCAACCCAGCCATGTGGCCTGACCAGGAATTGAGCCGGTGACCTCTTGGTTCCTAGGTTGATGCTCAACCACTGAGCAGCACTGGCCGGGCAAAGCTTCTCTACTTTTAAATGACTGCAGAACATCCCACCCAGTGGACACCTCCAATGTCATTTTAACCAGATTTCCAGCAATGGGGCGTTTCTAACTTACTGGAATTACCAGTAAGTCTATGATAAACATTTTTGTGAATTGAGCACATTACATATTTTGGATTATTTTCAGAAGGGGGCATCCAAGAAAAGAGTGTTCACAGAACATGACATATTTGTGTACCTGGATTTTAGAGCCAGGTTGCTTTACTGACAGATGTGAATGTGAAGCATTTATTGCGAGTACAAATGCCATTCCTGCTTTCTAATGCAGGCTATTCCTGTCACGCAGTGTGTTTCTAACACTTTAGCCAAATGACCCCATCATCCAGCAGACTTCACTCACGGTCCTTGCAGTCGGAATTCTGAAATGGGCAAAGCCAGGGCTGCGGGTAAAATACTGGCCTCCGGGAACTCATTTCCCTGGAAGCCTGTGCCATCCCCTCAGCAAGCTAAGCACCAGCGGAAAACACTCCCAGAGTCCTCGAGGCGGCATCTCCTGCTCACTCCATGCCTTCCCCCACATCCACTAAGCGCCTGCCAACAAGTCAGAAAGCTGCGGCCACCTGAGCCCTTTTTAAAGAATATATATTTTATTGATTTTTTTTTTTTTTAACAGAGAGAAAGGGAGAGGGATAGAGAGCTAGAAACATCAATGAGAGAGAAACATCGACCAGCTGCCTCCTGCACACCCTCTACCTGGGATGTGCCCGCGACCAAGGTACATGCCCTTGACCAGAATCGATCGAACCTGGGACCTTTCAGTCTGCAGACTGACGCTCTATCCGCTGAGCCAAACCGGTTTTGGCTAGAGCCCTTTTCTTAATTCCTTTTTACTTTTTGAACTCAAAGTCCTTAAGTCCCCTTTTTAGAGACTGGAAACCACCCTGAGGTTGTTACATGGTTCCTGGCCAGCAGCTCAGCCCAGAGCGCTCTGGCCCAGGGACAGACAGTCTCGCCATCGGTGGGTACGAGGGGCTGGCATCTGGAAGTGCCCAGGGATCCCTGGATGAGCAGCTGGGGCACAGTCCTCCCCTAGGGTTACCAGGCTGGCTTCACACTGTGCCTCTCCTCTTGCCTGCCTTTTGGTCTGGCTCATGGTCTGTTTCCCAGCCCCCTCTGGGTCTTGGGGCCTCCTGGACTCCCATCCACCGTCCCTGGCTCTCCTGTCTTCACTCCATGCCCTCCCATTCATTTAGATGTGGCTCTCTGGTCAGTGAACTCCCAGCCTGGGGCTGACGTTCTTTCGGGCCTGGATCCTGTAACTCCTGCCAGCCTGTTCCCCTGCCCACCCCACGGGGGCTGAAGTCATTTCCTGTAGAAATCTCCCGTGTAGGAGGCGCCACCAACTTCCTTAGTTTCCCTCCTAGTTCTCAGCTCCTTTTATCTTGGTTTGCTACCCAGCAGCCTCTGAGCAGCACACTGTACCCACGCGGAGGGGAACTGAGATTAGAGAGATTAGTCCTTCTACCATGGCTCACGATTCTCAGATATGTGTGGCAAAGGGCACGCATCAGTGATCTGAAGAGAGGAACTAAGCGGCTAGGGGAATTTGGTCCTCTGGAGAGGGAGGTGAGGACCAGTGTGCCCATTATTAAATACAAGGGGAGACCCGTGTGAGAATGGAGAGAGGAGCCAGCCATGCAGGAGGTAGGAAGAGGCACCAGATACCCAATCATGCATCGGAGACTTCTTGGGAGGATGGTGCACAGGAAACCTCTGTGGTCCAATGCGATGACCAAGTCTAAGACGTTACAATTTGACAAAGACCTGGCCTGGGCAGCCATCTCTTGCTCCACCTCTCAGCTCACCCAGACGTCACCTCAGGCCTCCACAGCACAACTCCCTGGGAATAGTCCCGATTACCAAGCACGTAAAGGCATTTCTTTCCGGCCTCCTGGTTGACCCTTCAGCTTCTCAAAGCTACCAAATGCTAACCTGAGCAGCTCCTCTGGACTCTGGCCACAGAATTAACCTCACCCCTGAAGGCCCTTAAGGTAGAATACTCAGAAAGAACCGGACTTTGAGGTCCCAAGATGGAGCAGAGGGAAGGATATTTACTAGTGATCTCAAACCCAGGTCATGGACTTGGCTTACATATTTTTCTCCTGGACGATGTTTCTGCATCTTAAATGACACGCTAGTATTGCTGTTCATATTCTGTATTTGTTATGCACAGCTACAACTG